AAGAAAAAGATTTTGTTTATTTTCTTAGTAGACCAAAAAAAAAAAAAAATGCATACAGATCATAATAACGCAGCACTGACTAGAAGATAGAACTGAATCATTAATCAAAGTGTATATTTTTTAATATATATATATTGGTATTTTCTCAAGTAAAATCTGGCAAAGGAGTAAAGAATTCAGTTATTTCAAAGACCACACAATTGTTCTCAAGACTGCTGAAAAGGTATAATGCATGCAGCAGATAAAGAAACCAGCATGCACCTTCTTTGAGAAGAAATTCAAATAGAAACTTGGGAATGGGGTCAGCAAGGCCTGTTATCTTCAGCACACTCAAATAGGAAAACCAATTGTTCTTCTAAAAAAGAGGTGTCAGAAGTTATACTGCTCAGAAGGTGCCAAAATGTTGGCAAAATTTTTGACTTTGCAAATTAATTGCTACAAATCATAAATAAAAGAACAATTTTTAAAACATACAGTGAGAATACAGCAATAGACCAACTGCTCTTCAGGTATACACACACTAAAAAAATGGCCAGTAGTACACCATTTTCATACACAACAAGTGATGACGTGTAATATGAATATAAAGCACTCGAAACACTTAAGCACGACGTTAAAGCAAAAAAAAAAAAAAAAAATGCATATGGCATACTTACCAGTTCCTCCACAGAGGGGACAGACTTAAGATATAAAAAAAAAGTTTCATAATTAGAAAGACATCAGACAAATGAATTTAACTAGTGGCATAATTAATACAAGGAAAACCCTCACTATATTGGATATCGGTTTGATGTTAAGTTCACTAGAACTACTATATTTTTAAATCCACAAATAACAGTAATTGTATTTACTTATTAGATAAAAATGTTTATTTCATCAAGATCAGTCAACAGACACCCAGCTCAGTGTTCTTTCCAATTGCAAATCTGTTTCAAAGTTAATGTTAAAGTTTTAGATAAATTATTTTCTAATAAAAATGTTGTTTCTCACTGGTAACATTAAATAGCCTTAAGGAGAGTTATCATCTGAGTTTTATTTGTTAAATAAAAAACTTCTCATTTAGATGCACAGAATTTCAGAATTTGAGACTGCATAATCCAATTCTTTCAGTTTACACATGAGAAAGGTAATATCCCGAGAACAAGGATATTGTCTCTCACTTCTCATTCTGGCTGCTTGTTGTTGTTATTAAGTGCCATCGAGTCAGTTCCGACCCACAGCGACCCTGTATAGGGTTTCCGAGAAGCAGCTGGTGAGCTTGAACCACCAACCTTGTAGTTCAAATGGCTTTGAAGTCTGGTGCATTAACCCACAGCGCCACACCAGGACTCCTCTGGCTGCTTAGCAAGGCAAAAAATACAAGCCAGGTCTCCAAACCTGAACCCTGAGGTTACTTATGTCATATTAATATGTCATTTTCTAGCATACTCACAACATTATACTCTTAATATATACTTGTTGTTGTTGTTATGTGCCATGGAGTCGGTTCCGACTCATAGCGACCCTGAACAGGGTTTCCGAGGCTGTTAATCTGACTCATAGTGACCCTGAACAGGGTTTCCAAGGCTGTTAATCTTTACAGGAGCAGAACACCTCATCTTTCTCCTGCGGAGCAGCTGGTAGTTTCGAACTGCTGACCTTGTGGTTCACAGCCCGATTCATAACCACTACTCTGCCAGATCTCCTTAATATATACTTGTAGGAGAATGTAAATAGCCACTGAAATAAACTCTAACATACGCATATTAGAACTATTCAAACATGATGAACTAAAAACAAGTAAAACTGAAGTTTGTACTTCTGTCATCATCAGCATCGTTTCATCTCCTACTTCTCCCAGCCTGTGTGAGGGCAGTAACAGTATCTTACTGCTTTGTCACTCTAGTCAACAAAGTTTCTACTGCACACAGCTGAGCTTACAATGTGACGAACAAACAAAATTCCCAAACACTTCTAACTGAGCAACTTTTGTATTAACCATTAGTAAATTCATACAGTGAAAAATTACAGATAATAGAAAGCATTCAATTACAGGGAAAATGCTAACAATATATTAAGAGAAAAAAAAAGAATGGTTGGTATCCAACTTCACTTTTCCACCCTTCTTCCTTATTAACAGACTTCAATTTTATTGAAGGGAGCCAGAGCTACTACAATACTGCCATTTAGATCAGGATAACTAAAGAGACATCAACAGAAATTGAAGACAATTTCATTAAAAAACTGCTCTTTAAAGAAGGTTAACACAGTTGGTGTGGCGCTGTAATATAAGCACTCAACTGCTAACTACAAGACCAACAGTTCAAAGTCACCAGCTTCTCCTTGGAAACCATACAGAGTGTTATGAGTCTGAACTGACTTGCTGGTACTTAACAACAACAACACTACTGGCAGGCATCCTTTTAACCTTCCCTTAGCTTCTTCTGTTTGCCTAGAGTGATGTTGTTACTGCTGTGATCATCTGAGGTAGTGACAGTATGGATGATCCTGCAAATAATCTTTACATTTTCGATATTTCCTACATTTCCTATAACGAGCACATTTTCCCTCTAACAATTAAAAAAGTCTCATTCAAAATTATCCTATGAGTCCTCTAAAATAGATGTGATTATATATGACTTACCAGTTTTGCCTTAATGGTACCAGAGTCAACACTTTGACCAGTCTTCGCATGAAGCTGAAGCTGAATAGAGTGCAACTGCAAAAGTTGATCGTGTACTTCTTTCTCCAACGCAGCCTTCTCCGCTTGGGTCTCTGTCAGTTCAGATTTCAGATCCACCAACTGTGCCTATAAGACAACAATGAAAAAGTATTTTTAGTTCTCTTTGACTATAATTATGAGTCAAGAATGAGGTACTATCATTGAGAATGAACAGAAGAACTGTGGAAAGTTATTATCTAAGATATAAGACACCTATACTGACAAAATCAATAGTATAAGTGAAATATTTAAGAGACAAGAGAACTCTAGTAAACAGAATTGATTCCGACCCAAAGCAATTAGTCCTATAAGGCAGAGTAGAACTGCCCTGTAGTGTTTCCTATGCTGAAATATTTACAGAAGCAGATGGCCAGGTCTTTTCTCTCAAGGAGTGAGTGGTAGATTTGAATTACTGACTTTGTGACTGGCAGTTAAGAGTTCAACCACGGCATCAGCAGAGTTCCCTCTCCTCTCTCTCTGTATATATATATATACACAATAAAACCTGTGAGAGCCGTAACTTGACAGGGTTGCCTTTCTTTTTTCATGTCTTGCAAAAGCTTCCCATTCTTGGTGGGTATAATCTTACTACTTTTATATTGCTTGCTTCAATGGAAAATATTTTACAAGTTTCTGCCTTACACCAGTTCCAGCTTTTGTAAGTTTTACTATATTTAATTGGCCCAGTCCCAAGAAATTCAAAGTGAAAGGTTTTTAGAAGATTAGTAAGGCAAGGATTCATACTGAAAGTTTGAATGGATTTAGAACAAGGACAAAATAAAAGTAGTGAAGCCATCTAGAAATGGGATATAGACTAGCAAAGACAAAGAGAGAGAGACTACAAGTCGTAAAATAAGTATCTTAGGTTAAACTCTGAGTATAGGGGCCAGAGGACTGGAATATATATATCTTCATGTCCTAACTGCACCAGCCAATGCCTTGTACCTAGTACCTAACAAGATGTTCAATAAATGTTTAAGTTGAAATAAATTCTAATATCAGCTCTGCTTCTGGCTAGTCCTCTGACTGGATAAATCATTCTGTACCTAACAACATTTCCTCAGTTTTAAAATAATGATCACATCCTTGACTTTTACTATTCTCATAAAATGATTAGCCTTATATACAAAAACTTTTGTAATAGACTATGGAGGTCAGATTAGCTACTGACACGTTGGATAACATTGGAAGTGCAAAAGAGGCTAGATACAATGGATGACTTTGAATGATAAATCAAGTGTGAGTTTGACTCTATTAGGAAATCACTATAAGTTCTTAATAATATTTTCATTTACACATCACAAAATTCTTTTTTAAGTACACAATTTACAGAGCTTTTAATATAGTCCTAGAGTTGTACACCCATCACTATTTAATTTTAGACTGTTTTCTCAGTGATATTTCAGCAGCATATTTGCTGGTGAGGGGTGATGACAAGAGCACCTCAGTGGCTTCATTGTCCTCCAAACTTGAAATAGCTGAGATACTGTTGACTCAGTCTTCCACTAGATATTCAGTCTGTGATTAACTATTTTTTCTCAACATTTTAACATGCTTTATCTCCTTTTACAAAGTTTCCGTGGTAACAACTCATTTTAAAAGCTACAAGTTTGTTAGTGTTCTTGTCTGTATCTCTTACCACCAAATACCATGCCACTAAAATTTCACTGAGAAAATAATTTAAAATTAAATAGTGATGGTGGTTGTTGTTAAAGTGCCACCCAGTCAGTTCCTACTCTTAGTTACCCTGTATAGGGTTTCCAAGGAACAGCTCATGATTTGGAATTAAGAGCAGAGAAAGGAGGAATTAATATCCTAAAACAGGAAAAACAGAAGGTCAAGGACTGACTTGGGTAAGAACCAGTCAGGATGGCCTGAGAAGCAGGAGAGTTGTGACATGCTCTAAACCAAACAAAAGTGTGGTATAATACAAACAATGTGCTGTAGCTTCCTGGCTTTTACCTTCTACAGGTTAGTCTCAGCAGAACTTCCTTACTCCCTTTTTTACAACTTTCTATTAATGTATAGCTTACATCTGAGTAGATAAAAGTAGCTTTCTGTCCGACATCTTAGCTAGGCTGCAGTTGTAGCTTCTCTCCGAGCTTCGTGATACCTCCCAAGGATGACAAGAAGAAGAAAGACGCCGGAAAGTCGGCCAAGAAAGACAAAGACCCAGTGAATAAATCTGGAGGCAAGGCCAAAAAGAAGAAGTGGTCCAAAGGGAAAGTTCGGGACAAGCTTAATAACCTGGTCTTGTTTGACAAAGCCACATATGACAAGCTCTGTAAGGAAGTTCCCAACTATAAACTCATAACACCAGCTGTTGTCTCTGAGAGACTGAAGATTCGCGGTTCCCTGGCCAGGGCAGCACTTCAGGAGCTGCTTAGTAAAGGACTTATTAAGCTGGTTTCAAAACACAGAGCTCAAGTAATTTACACCAGAAACACAAAGGGAGGGGATGCCCCAGCTGCTGGTGAAGATGCATGAACAGGTCCAACCAACTGTACATTTTGAAAAATAAACCTTTTTTAAACCAAAAAAAAAAAGTAAACACACCCATATGGCTACCACCCAGATCTAGAAATAGGCACAGTCCTCCTGTGACCCTCTAAATACTACCTCAACTTCCTCCACAAAGGTAATCAGCTTTACCCTGACTTTTAACATTTGTTTTTGAATGTTATATAAATGGAAAATCATATAATGTGCATAATTTATACCTGGCTATTGGATTCGTTTGTGAGATTCATTCAGATTGTTTTGTGTAGCTACAATGCACTCATTTTCATTGATATAGTATTATATGAATATACCACAATTTATTAATTTTATATTCTAGATCTCATTTGGGCTGTCTGTAGTCTTTTTTTATTATTAAAATGATGTCTATCAACCTTTTTGTTATTATGTGAATATATTCCTGTTGAGTAAATACCCAGGAGGAAAATGTCTAGGTTATACAGTATGCATATGTTAAACCTCAATAGAAAATGTAAAACAGTTGCAAGTAATTGTAACAATTGATATGCCTATCATGAATCAGAGAACTCTAATAGCTTCATTTTCTAGCATTCCTAGTCTTCTTAATTTTAGCCATATAGTTCTGGTATGACGAATCTGCTGCACAAGGCCTCTTTAAATTGTTGAAGAGCAAAAATGTCAGTTTGAGGGCTACGGTGAGCCTGACCCAAGCCAAGGTATTTTCAATAACATCATATGCATTAGAAAGTTGGATGATAGAATTGATGCATTTGAGCTATAGTGTTGGAGGAGAATATTAAAAGTACCACGGACTGCCAAAAGAACAAGCCAAAAAAAAAAAAAAAAGAACAAGCCAATCTGTGTTGGAAATACAACCAAAACGCTACTTGGAAGCCAGGATGGCCAGACTTTGTCTCGCACGCTTCAGACATATTGTCAGGAGGACCAGTCCCTGGAGAAGGATATCATTTTGGTAAAATGAAGGGTCAGAGAAAAAGAGGAAGACCCCCAACAAGAAGGACTGGCAAAGTGACAGCAGCAATGGGCTCAAATGGAGCAATGATTGTGAGGTTGGCGCAAGACCGGGCAGTGTTTCATTCTGTTGTGCATAGGGTCGCTATGAGTCAGTACAGACTCAATGGCACCTAACAACAGCACTCTGGTGTGGTGCTGCCTGATAATGCACTGTGAGGTCAGTTTGTACCACAAGTCAGTGGTTCTAGCCCACCAGCTGCTCCTCAGAAACCATATACAGGGTCACTATGGGTCAGAACCAACCCGGTGGCACTTTAAAACAGTAGAACTGTGGCATTCTGGTGTGGTGCTGTAGGATAAGAGCTAAACCAAAAGGTAGGTTTGAACCTCAAGGTTGGTGGTTCAAAGTCACCAGTCACTCCCTGGAGGCCCTATAAAGTCATTATAGGTCAGAACCAATTTGATGGCACTTAACAACAGCAGGAATGTAATGGCATTTCACAGTGATTTTAATTAAACTTTCCTAATTACTCATAAGATTGATCACCTCTGCATGTTTATTGCCCATTTGGATATTCTCTTTTGTGAATTCCCTGTTTTTCCATAGGGTTGTCTGTACTTTTCTTATTGATGTATATATACTTCTCTCTCTGCACACACATACATACACACATATAAACACACATTCTGAATATGAACTCCTTTATTGGATATGAACTACACATATTTTTTCCTGTCTTTGCACTGTTATTTTTCTTTTTAAGAAAGAAGTTTTCTTTTGATTTTTATTTTAAACCTTTCATTGTAAATTGGTACTGTGGGATAAAGCACCGTACTGCAAGGCTGATGTGAACCACAAGGTTGATGGTTCAAGCTCACCAGTTGCTCCTTAGAAACACTATACAGGGTCACTATGAGTCAGATCTGACTCAATGGCACTTAACAAAATTGTGAAATTAGTGAAGGTTTACATAGAGATCATTAGTTTTACATTAAAATAATCATATATTGCGTTATTCAATTATTGCAATTCCCTCCATATACCAATGGTTAACAGTATTTACCTCTATTCACTTGAACTCTTGCAGTCCTCCCTGTTTCCCACTACCTCTGTCTTTCTTATGGTAACCTCCTCTTGTTGTATATTGCCTGCCCTGTCACCCATGTTAACATGTGTTTGCCTTCTAGCCCGTAAATAAGTTCCCCTCTCTTACCCCTGTAACTATCATAGGTTGTTTGTTTTTTTTTTTTTTAAACCAAGAAAACCTCCTTAACTTTTTACAACATTGGTCTCATAGAATATTTGTCCTTTTATGACAATTTCACTCAGAATAATGTCCTTCAGGTTCAACCATGTTGTCAAGTGTTTTGTAGATTCATCGTTATTCAGTGTTGCATAGTTATCCATTGTGTGTATATACTCAAGGTTGTTTAATCATTTTTCTGTTGCTGGGCATTTAGGTTTTCTCCACTTTTTTGACCTATCTCTTGTAAACAGTATACTGAAGTATCCTGTTTTCTATTCTGCTTTATCTCTTGACTGGTGCATTTAATCCATTTACATTTAGTATAATTATCTATAGGTATGAAATGATTGCTGTCATTTTGCTGTTTTTTGTGATGTTGCTGTT